TAGTCAGGGGGGCTATGCTGTGTCTATGCTCACTCCCCACCACCGAGGAGTGACAGCCACACAAAGTTCCACACCGTCTGAATTCTTCCTCATGTGCATAAATGTTAGAAGCATCCCACGTATTGGTTATGTGCGTCCCAATAATCAATAAGTGTTTGTTTCATAGGGAAGTGTGTTGTTTATCTGACAATATATTGGCAGAGATCACCCTTAAATGTAGCAATGTGCAAAGTGTTTGGCTGCAGTGCAGATGATTTAAGAACAAGATCCGACTCGTCTGATTGTCAGATCAATGCAATCCATATCTTCTACCTCAAAGGATGCGTATTTTGTTGAAGCAGCCCTCATGCTCCCATACCGTTATCTGACAGGGGAAGTATGTAAATATAAGCAGAGACGGAACAGAGACATGTTCACAAGCAATCAAAGTTCAAAGCTCCCGTCTAGAACTTGCTGGCAGTTGGTATAAAGTAAGCCACGTCATACTTAAACTGAAACTGGCATGTGTAAAATGTGCATCCCCGCAGAGATTGTTAGATAAAGGGAATTGGTATTATTGTGACCATAGATCAGGAGTAGGTAACCTCGGCAGTCCGGCTGTGGTGAAACTACAAATCCCATAATGCTGGGAGTCATGACTGTGGCTGTCGGTGTCTTGCAATGCCTCATGGGACTTGTAGTTCCACAAGAGCAGAAGAGACAGACTTGCCCACCACGGTGTAATATTTTTTGGGACGTGCCTTAGGTTATATGGATGTTAACTTTTATTATTATTATTTCTATTGTGAACTTCCACTTTAATTTGCTCCCAGATCATCCCAATCCTAACTCATTACTTCTACCAACATCCACATCCTCTTGTACCAAGCCCCGCCTCTTCAGGGGTCTGAGAAACAGAGCAGAGCTTCCAAATGATTCAAAATGCTATGCATTAGTTCTTATATGCCCCGGCACAATGAACGCTGCTTTTAGATCTGTACCGCTTTTTTTTTAAGCCGCTGAACACACTGTAGCAGCCAATCGTGGCGTTTAAGGGCTCGTTTCCATCAGCCCGTGCGCTCATCGCGCTGTCTATGCCTGGAACGCAAGGGATCGCATACACAAAGTCTACTTGCGTTCTGGGGCGGGAGGGGGCATGGCCTTGCCATTCATGCCAATGGCACTGAAGACACGCAGTGCGATCGGCCGCACCGGACCCTGTGGTAATAAAATGCCTGGCATTCCAATGCAGTACGATCACAAAAAATAGTGCATGCGCTGGACAGTGCAATGAGCGCACGGGCTGGTGGAAACGAGACATAATCTAGAGCAGCCTTTCTCAACCAGGGTGCCATGGCACACTGGGGTGCCCTCCGGCATTTTAGGGGTCCCTTGAAATTTTTACCAAAGGGTAGACTCTGATGTAATGGGGGGCTCCTGATATGAAAGGATCCCCAATTAAAAGGTAATTCCACTTTCCCAGGCGAATTTGGGAAAACTGAATTACACCCACCAATCTGCCCCCCTCCCACTGCTCTTAGCTTTGAATGAACCCTGCTTCCCTTCTGCGGCTGCCGTTGTACAATCAGTCTCCCATACACAGCATTGCAGCAGTCCACTATGACGGGAATTCATCAAAAGTGGTGCAGACAAAATCTGGAGCAGTTGTGCATAACAACCAATCAGCTTCTCTGTTTTATTTTCAAATCTTAACTGAACAAACTGAAGAGAGAAGCTGATTGGTTACTATGGGCAACTGCTCCAGAAAGTTTTGATAAATTCCCCTCCTATGTATTTTAAATTACATTCGCAAGTGGTGACCAATGAGAAGCATTTCTGACCATGCTGACCAATGAAAACTACTTCTAAGCAAGAAGCACTTCTCACTGGTCAGGTGACTGTGATGACCAATACATGCTGCCCATTTGTAGGGGGAAATGTGAAATACCTAGTGCAGGGCTGCGATGTTGTGTATGGTGTACAGACCATACAATGGGAGCTGTGGTGGGGAAGAAGCATTCATTTAAAGGTAAGAACAGTAAGGGGGAGAGGGGCAGATTGGAGGGGGAATTCAATTTTCACAAATTTGCCTAGGAAAGTAGATTTACCCTTTAAAGTCCATCCGTCTAGGACCCCTTCTAGGATAAGGGTTTGGGAGAAAGGGGAAAACCACATGTTCCTTTTTTTTTTTATATTGACATTTTAGACCAGGGTGCCTTGAGTTTAAAAAAAAGGTTGAGAAATGCTGATCTAAAAATTAATGCTGCAAACCTGCGTCCAGATAGGATCATACTGGTGTCATTTATGCACATGCGTACAGGTGTAAACTAATTCTAGAGGCTAGAATGTATGCTGTACGTTCATAGTAGCTCATGTACTATGTCCAGTGGCGGGTGTTTTTCTGCTTGCAACAAAACACTCAGGTGTGAACAGGGGCCATAGACAGAAATAGGACTCCTCGTCTTGACCGTTTTTTTTTTTTTCGTGCTCAAGACAAGCGAATGGGATTCCTTGTGTTGAGTGTTTTGTTGCACTTTTAAGCGGCAAACCGCCTCGGTGTGAATGGGGACTAAATGCGAGTACTTTGTGTCATTAGACACATTTTTTAATGGCTGGATCTTTCTGGCAGTAAGACAAGTATTTTAATTACGCCCATGTGTGTGAGCCCTGACGTTACAAATGACTACAATCCCTTCCTTCACCCTGTGGTCTGCCTACACTAGTAGACAAAAAAAAGCTTAAAGTGCAGGGATCAACTACAATCCTTAAGCAGTCCGTTACTTTCTATTCTGGGTGTACCCTCCCTATAACCACATAGCGTGTATCTATAGCTGTGGAGGGCATATCTAGCACAGCATGAGCACATCCCATTTCCCAGTATCCAAGTCAACTTCCTGTGTGCAGAAAACACACACTTCCAGTCCAGTCCAGCCCAGTGGGGCTCTCCCTGGACACATGTACTTCTAAACATTGTGCACAGGGCTGGAGCTTGTCATCATCTTTCTAAAGAGGATGTTGCAGTGCAGTCAGGAAGCAGCACACAGGCAGTTCCTCCTTCAGTGATCAGAGAAATCCTGCCTGGGAAGCTGTCCCATCAACATGTCTGCAGGGGAGGACAGGAGCAGCATGAACCTAAGTGAAGCCGAGGAGGAAGATGATGTGCTCTCTGAAGGTAACATAGCCCTGTGTGTTTGTTTAGATGCTTAGAGCCATGTATATGAAGTGGGACAGCACAGTGTGTTAGTACTATGCCTGCTTTTATATTACATCAGGATTCCTAAGGGCTCACACACAAGCTCCTCTATGAAGGCAGGTTTTGGGTTTGACCGCTGCTCTAAAATATGGATCTGAACGCCACAATGTACACGGACATGTTGGCTGAAATAAAGTTGCGTTCAGAGGCACACAAAACTATAAGAATGTCTCTGAAAGCGCACTTTTTTTCTGCCCGTGTTCCTGAGGCCATTTAGATTACATGGAGCAGCTGGTCATTACTTCTCAGGTCATCACCTTCATACTCCTTAACCACTTGAAGACTGGGGTGTTACACCCCCTTCCTGTCCAGGCCATTTTGCAGTAATTTGACTGACATTTATTCAATCGACACCGTAGCAAAATCAATTTTATACCATTTTTTTTGGTGGGCAGATGGAGCTTTCTTTTGGTTGTATTTAATCACCACTGGGGTTATTTATTTTATACTATATAAAGAAAAACTGAAAATCTTGAAAAAAAAAACCCGTGCCCTACATTATGTTATGACACCTTTTATTATCCATTTTTTTGGGTAAAATATAAAAGATGGCATCATGTCGGTTAAATGGATACCGAACATGTCGAGCCTTAAAATTGCGTGTTCCTGTGAAATCGTAAAAGAAACTACCACACCCAAAATTGCCCATGTATGCTTTAAAAGCTTTTACCACTCACCATTCTAGTGTTGAGCGTGATTGATGGCCCTAGAATTATTGCTTGCACTCCAATGTTCGCGGTGATATGTAACGTGTGTGGCACAGTCGGCGCACCCAACCTGCGTTTGTATTTACGTGGGGGACTTTAAAAATGTTTTTTTTTTTTTTTTATGTGACTTTAATTATTGTTAACTTAATTGCTATTACATAGGGGGCTAACATGTGATGTCACACATACAGTGACAGGTCCTCTTTATGGAGACATCAGGGGTCTATTAGATCTGCTTTCACCAACTTCTTCTCCGGCTACAGCAGCTATCAAATGACAAACTGGAAGTGATCGCAGGGGAGATCTGCCTGTAAAAGTGTGCTGATCTCCCTCTAATCAAAAAGTAGAGACCCGCCGGTCCTGGGTGTGCATGGGGGACAGCGGAGCCTAGGAGAGCCAGGGGAGGGGGCACGCACACTCCCTCGCACCGTACAACATGTATGTAATGTCGCCAGCTGTTTAAAATGTTTAAACTTTCCTTTCTCGTGCATGTGGGGGAAGGGGGCACACGGCTATGGAAAAGGACATTTATAAATGCTCACCTGCTGTCAGGAGTGAGCCATCCGGCCGTTTAGTTACAGCAGTCGTACGGCAAGTGGTGAAATACCTATGCAGCACAACAGGATCAACTTCAGCTCTTTTAATGACCGAGAATGACAGAGGTCCCTGTCCTGAGCCTGCGAGGCCCCGAAAACGTTTGTACTTGAATGACAAACTTGTCATTTAAACTGGACTTGCTTCATGTTCAAATGGTGTGCTGGTGACATTTTTGGACTTTGTGATATTTACACGGTGCCATCCGTGGTCACTTCAAGCACTCGTCTGATTTACAGGTGTATTGTCTAATTCGGTAAGGCGTGCAACAGGGCATACTTGTATGTGATTGTGTTATCGGAGCTCCCAATCAGGGAAAACGTTATGCCCAGTTTCTTCCCGGGTCCTCTGCCATTTGCCATGGTTCTTGTAATGGGCATGACTGGTTCTTGTAATGGGCATGACTGGGGGTGATAGAAGTTCTTGTGGGCCCTCTCTAGGTGGATGAAAACCTCTACATCCAGCATGGGCACTCCTAAATCCTCCATTTGGTACACAGACCTTAGGTTGCTATGATGACAGACCGGTTGTTAGGCACACAGACATGCTAAAATGCTTGTGTTGCACGTTTTTAGGTGCTATTGAAACCTATAGGGCCAAAAACGCATGATCCTGCCTGAAAGAAAGCTCATGTACCTCTTTTGTCTAACAATTGGCATTGCAACACTCAGGTGAGAACGGGCACCTTTTCAATATAATGAGAATCTTAAACTCAAACTTTTTTAAAGCCATTTCAAATGCTGATTAAATCACTTCCAATAGAGGCTGCTCCTTGATCTTGAAAGGTTTTAGTTTCCTGTAGAATCAGTTGGTTTATGAGCACTGGCTTTGATATCCTATTTTGGGGGTGGCTCTTATCCCTTAAGGGGTCCTATGGAGCCACCCTTGTGTGTGCTAGTAAGCTGTCTCCACACAGGCACAGCAAGACAACCTGCTTCTCACTCCTTCCTCTTCTCTAAGCTAGTATATGGACAGCTGCTGGAGACTGCTCTGTCCCTTGTGATCTTGTACTGGGCAAGGGAGTTCAGGGAAGCTGAGCTGAGAGAGTTGGAGCTTTTTGGAAACATGATGACTGTAAGTGATTGGGCAAAAATGTGAAGAAATACTTTGCTGGGCAATGTATATTTGTTTGATCTGGATTCACTATTAAAAAAAAACAATTTGAGAGTTTAAAGTGACATTAAACCCTCAGATTTTTTTAACATAAACCAATACTGTAATGTGTGCCTTACTGTATTCCATGGTTGTTTCCCTTCTCTTTGCTGCTCTTCCTTTTTAAATCCTCATGTCTTCTCATGCTGGGCAGAACTTCCCTTTTCAGCTCAGGGCCTCTTCCTGTAGTGCTGGCTCAGGTTTCAAGCCCATACAAACGTATACACGGCCCCCGTATCCATTCCTGAGACAAGGCAGTCTGCTGCAAAACAGAAGTTCTGCAGAGCATGAGAACAGATACAGATTTAAAAGGAAGAGCAGCATAGAGAAGGGAAACAGCCATGGATTACAGTAAGACACACATTACAGTATTGTTTTATGTTAAATCTGAGGGTTTAATGTCAATTTAATACTACTTATTGCTGAGCGTTGTTGTGCTTCGGGTAACATGGGACAAATCGTTCAGGTGTGACTGGGGACTAAAAGTAACCTTTATTGAGAAAATATAGGCTGCCATTGCTGGCCTTTCATGCTGATAATGCTAGTGGCCTGGCTGTCATGTTGATTTCATGAATACTTTGTCATTTGTCTAGAACAAGTATGCAGATGAGGAGTTCTGATTTTGTTTACTGCATGTATGTTCTTGGCTATTGATTCGGACAGTCTGCCAGGGAAGTAGCATTTTCAGAATAAGGTCAGCAATAGAAGCCTTTTTTTCTCTCTCTCTCTCTCTCTCTCTCTCGGTACAGGCTCCATTTACATGCCAAGAGGCTTACATTGCAAATGATTGAAATACTGTAGGAAAGGAGTGTGTTTGCGGAGATATTGCAGTAAAAATAACTGGGGTGTGGGCGGCAATCAATTACAGAGACTGCATAGAGAGCAAAAAGGTGGTGAAGATGGAGCAGGCATGTTACCTGTTTTCATTCATTTTTTAATGCTTCTTTCTCTCTCTGCATTTTGTATAAATGTTGCACATAATCTCAGGGGAGAGGAGGATGCCTTTCCATGAGATTTCCCAGCAATGGACTGCTGATGTAATCTTTCCAGGATGCAACACTTGGGCACATTACATCACTAATGCCCAAGAGGACCAGGGAGTGGAAAAACCATAACTATAAGTAAAATAAAAATGATTATTTAATGAATGTAAGAAGATTTCATATCAGCTTGCAGTGCTGCATGCTGAGGCGATGTTTAGTGAAAAGGGGTAAATACTTTTTTGTTCGCTTCAAATGGGTTTTTGCATTTTTATAGAAGTCTATGGGACTGTTAAATGCCTAAAGCTGCTCAAATGCACCTGTCAATGAATTCTGTACGATCTTAGAAGCATCTCACACTAATGTCAAAGTGATCCCATCTAAAACAAGCCCAAAACCAGTCTACACATGCCCAAAGGATAAATGCACTTTCAGTTTGCTTACCCTGCCCCTCCACAGATGAGTACTTGCCAAGATCCGATGCTTGGGATTGTTTACATCGCACCACAAGTCTCATCTCTCCTGGCCATGCCTGTGCAGTACAGCCCTATAGAAGTCTATTGAGCTCTACTGCTCAGGTGTGGCCAGGAGAGAGAGGACTTGTGGTGCAGGATGTAAACAATCCCTGGAGTCCATAGGCATTGGACTGAGGCACGTATTCATCTGCAGACGATCTGTTGGATCAGGGGAGGAGGGCAAAAACTCTACTAAATTTCCAATCCGCAAGCATGCAGAAATCTTGATCTACTTTCTTGTTCTTTGTCAGTAACTCAAAGTGTGATACCCTGAATGTCACCATGGCAGCCAGGCCACTACTATTTTCAGAAGGGGAGGCCAGCAATGGCAGCTTACATCTTTCTCTCAGTATAGGTATCCTATATTACATAACAGAACTTGGTAAATTGTTTTGTTCTCCAGCCTGTCAGAGTTAAGCCAAAAATTTTGTTTTTAGTTAGAACGGGGAAGGTTATGAACACTTATCTGGTTTTATGGCTATCTGGGGCTCCATTAGAAAAATGTCCTCACTCTGTCCAGGTGACAACAGTTTTACCTGACAGGAAGTGAGAGAAAATCTGCTACAGAGATAAAGCAGAAAAATAATTGACAGGGTTTCGAGAAACCCAAAAAAAGCCTTTTAATTGCTGCTGTTGGAGAGCTTCCCTCACTTCCTGTCTGGAAAAATGTTGGCAGCACAGGAAGTGATTGTAGATCTCTCTGACTGAGCCACAAAAAGACCCAATAGGGGTTCTAATCCTTCCCCACTCCATGCAAAACTAACAGCAATGTTGCACTTGGTCAGGCAGGAGGTGCATTTTGGTTCCCATTCAAATGAATAGCAAAGTAAGAGACCTCCTGCACCGTTAACAGTCAGTAGTTGTGTTGCGCGATTAACACACAGACCTGGTGTGAACGGGCCCTCAAGCAGCACTAGACCCACCAATTTAATCTCCCAAAACAGTTACTTTAAAGGCACGGTTAAGGTTAC